AGCACCCATGCAACTCTGTACGCCAGCACCCTGGCACACCTACATCCCAGCACCCCGGCATCTCTGCCATCCAGCACCCCTGCAATCCCACACACCAGCACCCCTGCACCCTAGCAGGCCAGCACCCTGGCACACCAGCACCCGAGCTCCAGAGTACCCATGCCACTCCATGGCACCCCACACCATAGCACCCCAACCCACACCAATACCCCTGCCACTCAGTGGCATCCCCTGCAACCCAGCACCCCTGAAACCCAGCACCCCGGTGGGACCCCTGCGTTCCCCTTTGCTAGGGGCAGGATGGAGAGGGGCACCCCCGCGGCCTCACCTGCACCACCCTCATGTCCAGCCCTGTCTCGGAGGAGAGCTGCTCCCGCACATGCCGGGCAGGTTTGGGGGAATTTTTGTAGGCGTTCTTCAGCGTCTCCAGCTGCTTGGCGGTGATGGTGGTCCGGGGCCGCTTAGCGCCCGCCTCGGAGTCATCTGCAAGCCAAGGAGCGGGTACCAGCCCCGACCGCAGCAGCGTGAGCAACCCCAAACCACCAGCCCACGTCACCGGTGAAAAGCTCCCCGAAACCAGCTACCCCAGAGCCCGCAGTGACACGAACCACGGCCACCCCTCGGTGTGACGTCCCCCCCCTCATAACCCCTTTCGGGGTGCTTACCGTTCTGCTTGGCGGTCTCGTAATCCTCCTTGCAGACCAACCGCCCGTCCTCCATCAGGTAGAACTCGTCGCCGGTGGCCAGCTGCCGGCTGCAGATGATGCAGGCGAAGCAGTGGAGGTGGTAGACAAAATCTTGGGCTTTGCGGACCACCTGGGTGGGGGGGATGCCCTGCTGACACGCCGTGCATTTGGTCCCGAAACGCCTGCAAGGAGAAGCGGGTGATTCTGAGCATCCCCCCACCCCGATGAGGTGGGCTTCGGCGGAGATGGGGTGGGGACCAGGAGTCAGGGCAGAGTTTAACCCAGCGATCAACCTAATTATTCATGACACTTCACACGGCAGGGCTTTATCTTCTTCAGTGTGAAAGACCGGCCTAATGGAGCTGAGGAAGGTTTGATTTTAATGGTTCTTTTAAGTAATGCTTATAGGCTGCCTGATTTTCCCCTGCAAGGACAGTACATATTTCATCCACATTAATACCAAATAAATTAATTACGCCGCCCCGCTAGCATGATGAATCCCAGATTAATGTAGAATGATGGGGCTCTTACACCGTAGTGACAGCCCGACGGGTGCATTGGGTGTGCTGGCTTGGGGTAGGGCTGGGCCCAAGGAAGCCGGCCAGCGTGGCTGCAAGGAGCGTGCAAGAAGTGTGCAAAGACCACGTAAGAATGGTGCGAGAAGTGTGGAAGGTGCATGCAAGGAGTGTGCAAGGAGTGTGCAAGAAGTGTGGAAGGAGCATCCAAGCAGCGTGGAAAAAGAGCGCACAGACCATGTAAGTATGGTGCAAGAAGCGCAGAAGGTGCATGCAAGGAGTGTGCAAGGAGTGTGCAAGAAGTGTGGAAGGAGCATCCAAGAAGTGTGCAAGGAGCATGCAAGGTCCATGTAACAATGGTGCAAGGAGTGTGTAAGGAGCATCCAAGAAATGTGGAAGGAGTGTGCAAGGACCATGCAAGAATGGTGCAAGCAGTGTGGAAGGTGCATGCAAGGAGTGTGGAAGGAGCATCCAAGAAGTGTGCAAGGAGCATGCAAGGTCCATGTAACAATGGTGCAAGGAGTGTGTAAGGAGCATCCAAGAAGTGTGGAAGGAGCGTGCAAGGACCATGTAAGTATGGTGCAAGAAGCGTGGAAGGTGCATGCAAGGAGCGTGTAAAGAGTGTGCAAGGAGCACGCAAGGACCATGTAAGAAAGGTGCAAGAAGTGTGGAAGGAGCTTACAATAAATACGGAAGGAGCGTGCAAGGACCATGTAAGTATGGTGCAAGAAGTGTGGAAGATGCATGCAAGGAGTGTGCAAGGAGCATGCAAGGAGTGTGCAAGGAGCACGCAAGGAGCTGCCCCCCGAGCTGGGGGTACCTGTATGCGCCTGGGGTGCAGTTGCCCTTTGCAGACGTGAAGACTAACACCCCGATAACACCCAACACCCCAATAACACCCAGAATACAACACCCAGCACCCCAGTAACACCCGGATAACACCACCCCGATAACACCCCGATAACACCCGCTGTAAACCGAGCTGCTGGTGCAAGGGCGATGCATCCAACAAGGCGGTGTCGGCACAGGAGAAAGCCAAAAAAATAAGCCAACGTTCCACTGGTGTTTGCAGCAGCTGCCGCCGTGGGCTTTGGGATTGGCACGGGGCACATCCCCACCTCCCACCGGCACCACGAGGGCTCTTCTGGGTCTCCCTTGCTCCCCCCAGCACCCCCACACACCCATCAGTGGGGTGCCGGGACCAGGCAGCAAAGCTTCCCGAATCAATCTGTCCCCTACGCCTCAGCCAGAGCCGGTTCCTCCGAAAGGAGGTGGCCCAGGAGACCCAGGCCCTTTGGCCCCCAGCCCCAGGGCGAAGGGGTCCTCGTTCGGGGGTGCCCAGGGGGTACAGCCACCCCGGGCACCTCTCGTTGCCCCGCACCCCGAGGGCTGAACATCCCCAACCAAGCGAAATCGCCCCACGGGTCCTGCAACCCACGCTGTTCGGAAAGCCGGGGCACGGCCACCAAAGCTGGGTCGCTGGGACTGTCCCCAGGTCACCCAGGTGTCACCCAGGGACGGGCGGTGGGCACGAGTGGCACCGGGGTGATTTCTGCCCAAAGGGGTCTTGGAAGCAGAAGGTGAGGAGGGAAAAAAACCCTCTTTTGTCTTGTTTTTCTGGGCTTGTATCCTAAAGGGAGAATCCCCGGACATCTGCTGGGGAGAGGTCAGCTCTCCTGGGGTCAGCTGGGAGGGAGGGTGGGAGAGAGGGAGGGATGAAGGGATGGAGGAAGGGATGAAAGGGATGGAGGGGAGCAATAGGATGGGAGATGGAGGGAGGGATGAAGGGATGGAGTGGAAGGATGGGATGGGAGATGGAGGTAGGGATGAAAGGATGGAGGGGAGAGGGAGGGATGAAGGGATGGAGGGAGGGATGA